GGAGGCCCGGGGAGCTGGGGCTATGGAGCCGGCCGAGGTGAAGGACCGCATCCTGGAGAACATCTCCCTCTCCGTCAAGAAGGTGGGTGGTGGGGGCCTGATGTGGGGCTGGGGGGACCTGAGGGACCCCCTGTTTCTGGTGGAGGCCCCGGAGCTGCCTCGGCTGGGCTGTGAGCCCGGGGACAGCCGTGGGACAGCCCTGTGAGCCTGGGGACAGCCCTGTGACAGCTCTGGGGACCCCCAGTGCTGCTGTGTCCCCGGGATCTGCCTCTGGCTGGGGACGCTGCTGGGGGTCACCTCGACACACACCCCACCGAGATGTGGGACTGAGGGGATGGTCCCTGGGGACACCCCTGCCTGAGGGCTGGGGCAGAGGGACAGTCCCCAGGGACACCCCCCCAAGAAGGAAGGGGGGCTGGGAACACCCCAGAGACATGAGGGGGCTCTGGGACGTGAATGTGGGGTCAAGGACACCCTGCCATCCCCTCTGCCAGAGGTAGGGAACACCTTTAGGTGTTCCTCTGTGGGGGTTTGGGGACCCCATGGCATTCCCTGCCAAAGGGACGTAGCCAGGGTCACCCCCAGGGACCTCTGTCTCTGCTGGTTGGGGTTTATTGGGTTCCCCCTTTTCAAAGGGTTTCTTCCTCCAGACAGGACTGGGGGGGCCCAGGAGGAGATCCCTTTTCCTTGAGCTATTCAGTGGGGGGGGCATCTGGATGAGTCCAGCATGAAAACCTTTTTCCAGAGGACTTGTGGATGTATCTCCAGTTGTTAGGTTTCTGCAGCCTTATGGAATAGGAGTTCTCCTGTGATCTGCAATGTGTCCTGATACAGATTCATCCATGAAAAACTGTTCTGCAAAGACCATCACAAGTGAATTCCTGGCACTACTAAGGAATGGATGGCCTGATGTTGCCTCTGGGATGTAGGATGGATGTGCAAACCTCTCCCAGCCTTTCTCTTTTCTGGGTGACCCTGCCCTCTGGTCTCTCACCTTTCTTTCTTCTAAAAATTAAGGATAATCTTTTATCTACCTGGAAGTCAGCGGATCTCCAGCCTGCTCCAAGCTCTGTTACAATCTCCTGCCTCAGTTTCCCCACATGTATGAGGATATACTATACTAACTTCCCACACAAGATTTGTTGGACATAATTTGTTTGCATTCAGGAAATCCTTGGGGATCCCTGTTGGAAATGCTTTAAAATCAACGTGGTGCTTATTTGTAACAATGATGGTACTTGAACTGTCCACCTCAACCACAGCTCTGCCAGCACAGCTCTGCCTAGACCTGCCTCAGTCCCTGCCAGCTCCTGTCTTGGTCCGATGGCGAAGAAGGACTTGGGGATTTTTCAGTGCTCTGAACTCTCCCCGTTCAGTTCAGAGCTGGGAAGCTCAGGGAAATGTAGGAATCTACGTGAGGCTTCAGGCTGACAGGTTTATTTATGCCATCCCAGAGAAACCAAGCTCAACGACGTGGTGAAAGGCACATCCCTGCTTTTCACTCCGGGGTTGCAGTTCTTCCTCAGGGACATCACTCCCCTTCAGCTGTGGAGCTGCTGATTTTTCCCAATGCTTCCCTGACTGACTCCAGCCCTCAAATCCCTGATAATTCTATTTATTTTTTTTTCTCTGTGTGAGTGGGAAGAGTAAGGTAGTAGGTAAGGGGAGCAGTTACACCCTTCCCACACCCTGGGAAATCCTGCTCTCCTTTGTCCTCCTCTCCTTACCTCTGGGTCTGTCTTGAGTAACTCCTTGTTGCTGGGATTGTGTCATGGAGTGTGGAGGAGTTTTTGGAGTATCTCACCTCTGATTTCAAAAGCTTCCTAGCTGTGTAGGTTGCTTGCTCCTTTCTTTTGCTGTTGTTGAAGGTTTAAGTTGGAGAGCAGAGGGTTTGGATGTGGTGGTGGTGAGACACACACACCTCCCCACGCTGCTTTTTGGCCAGGTGATGATAGGTTTTACTTTCTCAGCTTCAGACCCAAGGAGGAGTTTGTTGACTCTCAGCATTTTGTGGGCTGCAGGTCAGGCCATATTTTAGAAGACAGCCAGGACTAAACCCCACTTTGAGACTGGGTAAACTGGGACAAACCACCACAGAAGGCTGAGGTACCTGGTTATGAGGTCAGGTTCTGAGAAGCAGAAGCAGAACTAATTGCCTTATTTTCACAGAGTGGCCCAGGGAAAACCATCCAGCTGTTTGTCAGCTTTCATCTGTCTCAGATGGGGAAGGCAACAAGCAGCAGCACAGCCCTGGGCAGGGTTTGTGCCACTGAGACCTGTGGTTGTGGCTTTACTGGGCTGTGACTTGACTTTCTCCAGGGTACTTCTGAATTTGAGGAGTGGGAGCTCAGAGCACAAGCAAGTGTGTAAATTCTGTACCCATCAACAGGGAAAAAAAACAACCTTCAATTCAAGCAAATCCCTCCAGACTCAGTGAACAGGACTTTCTTATATTCCTAGGAATATTTGAGGAGTAGAGCACAGCAGAAAAGGCAGGGATGCAAACCTGCTTGGAGAGGGTAATTATACACCTGTGGGTTTCCGAAGTGCCAGATCTGGACTGTTCACATCCTTCACCCTATTTCAGAGCTCAACTGTAGCTCACACTGCAGAAGTGGGAGATCAGGCCTCAGCTGCAGAGAGAGAGGCAGAACATCTAATGTAGACACCCAATACATTTTCTTCTGCAGCTGGAGAGATGTCAAGGGGTCTTCAGAAGAGTTTGGGAGAGCTCAGCAGTTGTGAGTTGGGTCCTTGCTTCAATTCCAGCACACATCCAAGGGCATTGTGAATGTGGTAGTGATGTCCCACCTCCAGCTTGCCCTCCCTGGGATATACATTAATTCTGAGAGCAGTGCCTTCTGCTCTGGTTACATGGACAGTGTGATGCTGAGGAGCTTGTTGCCTCTGTCTCGTGACCATTTCTTTTCCCCTTTCCCATCCAGTGCTCCCTCACTCTGCCTTCTGCTAAGAGCCTTGTGCTCCAGCACAAATTACCATGCAAATTGATGCCTAACCTTTTTTTTTTTAAAGAATTCAGGCTTTATTGAGGCAGAAGGCTGGAGATGAGCATGTTATGGCTCAGTGTGAATTCATCCCTTCCTGTGCCTCCTCTCCCAGTGGGGTGCAGACCCTTGTTCACTCAAGTGTATTTTCTTCTAGGAGATATTGCTGCACGTGGCAGCAGTGGGATGGGAGCTGCTTCCTGGTGCCTCCCTGCTGGACTCTTGCTGTGATTAGCACAATAGAAACACCAACAGCTTCATATCCATCACTGGCCATCCATCTCCTGGTAGCTAGAAGCTGTCACAGGTGACCTGGTCCTGGGAGCTTAGATGTTTTGTTTTCTCTTGTTGGGTTTCCATGCCCTCCTGGACACTGGAGGGGGTTATGGAGAGATTTCTTCCTGTCCTGCCTGTGTTTAGGTGGTGAAAATGCAAAGTCCTTAAACAAAGCTCATTGTTGGCAATTCCAGGATCTAAATGTAAAATCATGGAAGGCGTCAGAATCCCAGATTTTGGGGCTCTCCTCTGTTTTTCAGGCTTTTCCTACTGGCTTTGAAGGACACCCATTCCCATGAACTCCAGAGCAGCTGATCCTTGGTGCATGTCAATCAGGTGGAGCAATGGTTTTTGCTGATGTTGCAGGAGTTCTTGCCAAAAGCTCTGGCTCTGCTTGGTTTATGCATGACTTTGGGAGGGTTTCCACTTCCCTCACAGTCAATTGATGCTGCTGCCTTTTCTGCTTGTCTTCAGATTGCATTTTCAGCCCTGTATCACTGAAATGCCTCTGCAGTCCCCCAGGCTCCCCGTCTCTGCTTCTCCTGCATAGTGAGGGAGAGTAGATTTGGGGGTGGCTTTAATGCCCATGTCCTGGAGAGGAGCAGGTAGCACTGGAGTGGAGCATCCCTCCTGAAATCATGTAGGGAACGTGCTCATCTCCAGCTGGGTGGATTTATTTAGCCCAGCTACTGTGGAGATGTGAAAATAGCCAGTTGATGACTTGCCTTCTGCTTCCTGTTGAGGGGGACCTCACTGGCTCAGGGACCACAGGGGTGTTTATTTCTTCAGGGTAATTTCCTCTCACTGGTGTTTGCTCCAAGTCGCATCCTTATTGCTCTGGGGAGCTGGCAGCAGGGGCTGACATCACTCCTGTGGCAATCCTGGCCTGGGACAGAGCTGCTGGCCACTAGAGCACAGGACCACTAGCAGCCTGTGGCTGAAGCTAGCAGCATTCTAGTGGACCTCATAAGTTGGCCATGAAGCCACCAAGGGTCACTCAGGTGCTTTTAAGAAGTCTACAAGTGCATGTACCTAAACTGCCTATTTTGCTGGTTCTCTAAGGGCTTTGTCCCACAAAGCCTTGTGTGATTCTTCTGAGAGGGCAGCTCACTTGGGCATTTGAAGGTTTCTCTCTTTCATAATTCCTAATGCCACATCCTCATACTTTTTTGTGTCACATCCTGACATTTTTCCTTATGTTTAGCTCAGTACCTAGGGAAAAACTTCTTTCCTCTGAGGGTAACAGAGCCCTGGGACAGGCTGCCCAGAGAAGCTGTGCAGTCTCCATTCCTGGAGACATTCCAAACCCACCTGGATGTGTTCTTGTGGGATCTGCTGTAGGTGACACTGCTCTGGAAGGGGTTGGACTGGATGATCTCCAGACATCCCTTCCAACCCCCCCTACGCTGTTATTCTGTGACACAGGTCTGGTGATGATTTGAGGTTCATCATCTGCAAAGGGATTGGATTCTATGGGTTCCTAAGCTGCTGTTGTCTCTTTACACCCAGAGGAGGTGTTTCTGAAAACCAGCTCTGAATTTGTTGGGGGCAAGGGCTATGAGAGCCTTCTGGGGAGGAAAAAAATGCATTTTGTTCTCCTACCCCTAACACAAGGCTTTCACAGGGAGAGCAGTTGGTTTAGAAGGCTGGATTTTGGCTGTGGGTTTTGTGCAAGGAGCTGAAGCAAGGCCTCGGAGCCTCTGGTTGCACAATCTCAGCTGCTGTTGAGTGATTTCAACTTTCCCTGCTTCTGGTGTCCTGGTCCAAGAAGAGAAACTGAAATAAGTGGGTTTTGGTTGCT